ATATCAGCCTTCAGGACTGGTCCTAAGCAGCGAGGCTTGGCTCTATGGTGCACATCCCCCGGGCCCGTTCCCTGGGAACTGCCATTGGGTGAGGGACGCCGTTGTATCGATTCGCACCGATGTTCGCTCGGGAAGGGCGGGTTGTCGGCCTCCATTCTCCGTTCTCCCGTTCGTCCTCCTACCTCCAACGTCCAGCACAAATCCACCCAGTTTCAACCGATTTCCTGTTTTTCTGCCGCTCTTAACTCATGAAGTGATCACTCCATGTCGTGTATTTGAAAAAACCCCAACATTCTGTATTAACGGGACGCGTCATTTTTTGAGTTGCTTCGAATGCGAGCTTCTTTAATCCCATCTGACTTTCAATTGAATGTTCGGTAATTTTGCAGAAGTGAAGCTCCATTTTGTATGGATGTATCAATAGTGTCGTCTGGACTTCTTGTGTTGTGAAATGGGAGAAGTTTCGCCTGCATCGTTCGCCGACGTGACGTTTGCGCTCATTCAGAAGTTGGTTTCAATTGTTATAGAGGTGTTTTTCAAGTTTTTCAAAAACGACCTTCCCGAACAAAATGAAAACGATTCTGTGATGACAAAAGCCTTTTGCTAGTACGAACGGTGTCAGTTGAATGTCGAATCACTCGTGATTAAAGAAAGGATAGTCCCATCCATTTCAAATGGCTATCTGTGTGCTACCAAGAGTCAAGCATACGTCGCGGAATCCGCGCAGGGGAGGAGGGTCGTATTCGGCCTCCTCGGAAGGAGGGGGTCGTATTTGCAGAGGGCAGTACCGAAAGCAGCTGCGACGAGCTTGCGGGATAGGTGATGCGTTCGTAAAGGAAGTCGCTACATTGCGCATTCCATAGAAATGTTGATCAGCACCACGACGGGCCAATTTTCGCGTAAGAGCGCGTTCAGACTTCGCGATCGCTGTGATCGCGTGATCCGTCACGCTTAGCGGCCGCGTTCATAAGCTTGCGACCATGAAAGAAATGCAGAAATGCGGAAAATGCAGAAGTGCGAAAGTGCAGAGGTGCGAATCTGCAGAAAAGCAATAGATACGTATCGACTTGAAGAAATGCAGAAATGCCGAAACTGCAGACGTGCGGAATGCAGAAATGACGAAAAGCATTACATACGTATCGATTTGAAGAAATGCAGAATGCCGAAAGTGAAGAAGTGCGGAATCTGCAGAAATGCCGACAGTGCGGAATGTGCAGAAATGCCGACAGTGCGGAATGTGCAGAAAAGCAACCGATACGTATCGATTTTCCCACACTGTCGGCATTTCTGCAGATTCCGCACTTCTTCACTTTCGGCATTTCTGCATTTCTTCAAGTCGATTCGTATCTAATACTTTTCTGCAGATTCCGCACTGTCGGCATTTCTGCACGTTCCGCACTGCCGGCATTTCTGCAGATTCCGCACTTCTTCACTTTCGGCATTTCTGCATTTCTTCAAATCGTTACGTATGTAATGCTTTTCTGCAGATTCCGCACTTCTGCACTTTCCACACTTCTGCATTTTCCGCATTTCTGCATTTCTTCATGGTCGCAAGCTATGAACGCGGCCTACTGTGGGTGAAATCACACCGGGAGGGGGTCATGTTCGTTCATGTTCAACTCAACTCAACAAACAACATCAACAAAGTTCTGGTAAGGGAGTCGTACTGATATCACCATTTCTCACATCACGGTGCTGTATCCTGCCCCAGTAGGCAGTTCCAAAAACGATATAAAAGTTCGACCTTTTTTGATATCTTTCAGGCCGTGTTAATATTCGAAATACTGACGATTTGCAGAAACCGTCAAATGGAAAGGTTGTGTATAGACCTGGAGGACGGCAGAACAAACAAAGCAAACACAATGTGACAAAAGTAAAGTGAATATCTGGAGGACTTTCAAAATCGGGGGAAGGGAGAGAAACAAAATCACCCGCTGTTGAAAGTTCTGCGTGTCTTACTTTTGGAACAAGATGTTCAATACTCCGCTTGAACGTGCTCAGATGCAAAATTCTAATAATTAGCATATTGTATATTTAGTACTATTTTACATAGGAAATAATAAATAACTCAAAGATATTTCGAAACATTCCTCAAAATTAGGAGGGCGTTATGTACACAAAGGAAGAAAGAAGGAAAAGGAAAAAAAAGAACAGGAAAAATAAACATGAACGAACATGGCTCTCTCCCGGTGTAATTTCACCCACAGTAGCGCGATGGGTCGCGCGATCGCGAAGTCTGAACGCGCTCTAATAGAGCTACAGCTAATTTTATTTGCTCATTTTATTTGGGGAGAGAAACCATCTATTCCCCAATGCTATGTAGTTATCCCTTCTAGGTTATGCTTTAGCCGATATCGGGCCTTCGAAAGGTTAAAATCCCATTCCCCGCGTCATTTTTGTGATTTTCCGCCAATTTTCGCTGCAATGGAGTTATAACAAAGCTTCTAAACTTACTGGAAAGGAGAAAAAAACCTTCTAGTTTCCAATGCCTTGTAGATCCACGCTCTATCTTTTGTATGAACGAATTTATTCCCATTAAAAGGAGAAGAACTCGCGTTTGCTCAAAATTCCCTGCATTATTTTCTGGCCTCTTGCAACCATGGTTGGACCTGTACTGTATTTCTGATGGAGCTCGGCCATACAACCTGAATCATTTTCACCTTTTATGGAAGATAGCTTCTAAATGAAGTTAAACCCTTTTCAAAAATACCATGGGCCGACTCCAATCCCAATACGCGATGCAGCCACAGTAAATCAATGCGTCCCTTCGTGTTGTTTCATTTAGAGGGTGTCATTGTAGAGTTTTTTGGAAGTCCCAGTCTGTGCATCTACTTCTTAAAAATTAATCTTTTCAATGTTCAGTGCTTTTTTATATTTTTTGGTAAATGATCCTAGATGCACAAATACCCATTCGGTGATATTCGCCTAACACACAACATATACAGCTATATCCTGATGATTACAGCACATTCCCCCACGCACTCCAAGTCACTAATGTGCGGGGGGGGGGTCGTACGGTCACCCCTTTTTAGGGAGGGGTCCCGGACCCCAATTTTCCGCAGCGTCATGGTTGACGTTCTACCTTTCGTTTTATGAGACGTGACATATCTCTCATGAAGGCTCTCAATCATAGTTCCTTATACCCATATTGCAGTGGACGAGTGATTCGTTTTACCTGCTCACAAGCACCAGTTCTCAGCGCCGTTTCTAAGGCAGCTTCCTGTTCCTCGATCTTCTGTATAGGTTGCTGAGAGCGGGCCGTTTTGTGGATGGAAAAAAAGCAGTGTCATAGGGCAGAACGCACTCATACATATGGTTGCGTGTTTCTTACACTGCGAAGCATAATCATATTTCCACCCATGAATCTCACAAAATCTCGTCTTACACGACGTTTTCAGAAATGCTTCCAATTAGAGAATGTGGTAATTATCAATACCAATTCGCATGCCAACACCAAACACTAACTTGAAAGAACAGTTTTTTTCGTCAATTTTCAACAAAATAGTTGTACTGGCAATGCAGCAAAATGATAGTTCCACATCATATTTTCCCGCTGTATCTCATTTTTGTTAGGTAAAACTTCTTCATTGAGACTTCTTGCCTCTTCTAGGCTATGACAAGTGGAACTTCATTAATGGACCTCGAAGAAGGACAGATTATCGCAAAGAAGACTCAAAACTGGTGAACCGTCGATTGGCGCGGGATGCGGGCCGCACTCATCAATCTATCAAATCTTTTCCAAGGGACCTAGAGCATATTGAGTTGAGAAGAGCTCTGGACATCCTCCTCTGCTGCCCTATCGGAATAAGCGCCACATCTTAAGGAAAGCATCCAACTCTGGTGTCGTGTCGGGGAATTAAGTCATCTTCAGAGGTTAATGTCTCGAAGGATACTGTTGGATGTGTCTTGAAAAACTGAGTTCATCAACATTAGGAATATGAGGGAAGCACCGTTTGTGACAGAAAACCATAGTGAAAACCGAATAAGCGTCGCTAGAGATGTTGCCGAAACCACTGGAGTGAGGTTAGCTTTTGGCTGCTGTGCTCTACTGCTTGTCTGTCTTGTTTTTTTACAGTTTTTTTCTCGCGGTCATGTTTTCTGGTAAGAAAATTAAACTGCAACGGCTCAGACGGAATCCGATTCCGCTGACGCGACCTGAGGAAAGACAAGTTTTATTTTTCCGGGCCGAACTTCTAAGGATGGGTCATGGTCTGGGCTGCCATCGCATCAATGGAACGTTTGAAACTGCTCCGTATGAAGAGAAAAAGATTCCTTCCGTTTATCTAAACGTCATGCTACGAGGTCTCCTTGCTTTTTGGCGAAGAAATCAGCAAGAAAGCTTCGTTTTCATGCAAGATAATGCGCCAGTTCATGTCAGCCGAAGCTCTTGAGCGTGACCCAGTCGTCAGCAAACCGCTCTTTTGCCCTGGCCAGCGAGTAGCCCCGATTTAATCCCAATCGAGGATGTGTGGAGCTCAATGGTGTGTATGATCCATGAGAACAATTCACAGTTCCACAATGTCCGTGAGCTTAGGGAGTCAGTCATTGATGCATGGCACCGGATTGGCCGAAAGCCTATTGAAAATCTCTAATCGAGCATGGGCAACCGTATTTTCCAGCTTATTCGGAGAAATTGAGTTCCAATAGCTTCATGGGTGGAACTATAATTATGCTTCGAAGTGTATTGTCCGAGGCTTTCTCGGGTTTTTCTATCGAGACGAGCGGAGCCATCGTCCGTGACACTCATTTCCCTAACACGAAGGGCAGACAACTCGCTGACCGCATTTTATAGAGTCTTGGATGGATCTTTCCCCTGTACTCCTTGAAACGACTAAACCATTTCCGAAGACTTCATTTTGAGTCCGTTTTAATCATCATTTTTGAGTCCGTTTTATTCATCATTTATGTTCCGGCTTTGATTGTATTCGTTTTTCAGGGTAAGCCCACGTAAACTAAAGAGAAGCGATATACCAAACGAAGCTTTTCATGCCCTCAGGGAAATGGTTTCGAACGAGGTACCGCTTTTCATTAGCTTTCAACGTTTCCAAAGAACGTGCACATTTTCAGTTGTCGTCGATTCCTTCTGCTAATTTGATAATGCCCTCACCAGCTAATTTGACTTCAAATGGCAATTCGGCCGAGACCGTTGTTGAGCCGAATAAACTCCAGTTTGGTATGTTTCCTTTCTAGCTTCTCATGATATTCTCTTCCCGTTTGAGGACAGTTACTCGCGCGCTTTGTGGTTGTTCTTTGTTGGGCGCGATTGTAGCCCAGTGCAATGCGCCGTGCAAAGTGTAAGAACATTGTGGCTAGTCGCCAGTTTTTATGTGGCTACTGCATCTTGCCCGTCGTTATCAATCAATTTTCCTTCGCCGTTCCGCTTATCTGGCCCGTTCCACTTTTCATTGATTTCCGTACATGACGCCTCATAACGTCTTGTTTTTCCTCAAATTTTTTGATTGTTCTATAATTCCGTTGTTTCGAAGCGAAGGCGTGATGGTATTCAGCAACACCAGATTTCAGGTTTATTCGAAGACGAGGACTCTCGAATGTCAGGATGTGAGTCTTCAGAGGGATCGCAGTCCCAGTACTCTATTGAGGATGACTTCGCAAAGCCGCACGCAAAAGGTCCGTCTTTTCTTGCTGATCGATGCATTTGAGGCTAAGTTGCGTTTATTGTTCGCTGCTATCTTGACTAACAATGGAGGGGATTCATCATTATTTTTATTCGCTCATAACCAAGGTTGGTTCTTGAGTCAGCTCCTTTCTGAACCATAATAGGGTATCAAAACAAATGGATTGCATTATCGAAATAGAATCCCACTCTATGTTTGATGTTCTCTTTAGTATTAGGTTGTCCGCAAAGTTCTCAGCGTTTTGTGCCCCTATTTTTTGTAAATTCACTGATTATTAAAAACTCAATCTGCCTTGCTTCTCAGTAGCACATCCTGTAGAAAATTTCTTGCGCTATCTGATGGTATATTTGCCGTTTCACCATTTCTTGATTAACCCCCTTTTTTCAAGATTTTTCCAAGCATGTAAAAAGAGCACTTTGGACGATTTTTTTCTTCGACTATAAATTGGGGCAATCCGCAATCGAAACAGCTCAACAAATTAACCAGGTGTGGGGGCCCAATAGTGTTAGAGAAAGCACTGTGCGGCAATGGCTCAACAAATTTTGTTCTGGAGATTTCAGCCTTGAAGATGAACCTCATAGCGGTCGACCTAAAGCAATATCTGACGAGGATTTTGGGGGGATTTTGGAGGCTGACCCATCCCAAACAGTTTGAGAGATAGCAGAAGAGCTAGGCGTTGGCAAATCCACTGTTGCAGATGGTATGGAACGCATTGGAAAGGTGAAAAAACGTGACAATTGGGTGCCCCACAATCGGAGTGACCGGCAGGAATCGGCACGTCTCGAGGTTCCTTCTGCACTGCTTTTACGCAGCAGAAACGAACTGTTTTTGGACCGAATTGTCACCTGTGATGAAAAATGGGTCATGTGTGATAAGAGGAGACGTTCCGGACAGTGGTGAATTTCGACGAACCACCGATGTAATTTTCAAAGCCGAACCTCATACAAAAAAGATTCTGGTTACGGCTTGTGGTCATCGGCTGATGTGATCCACTATAACTTTTTATCACCAGGCCAAACCATCACAGCAGAACCCTACTGTGAAGAAATCAACGAATTGTACCGAAATTTTGTCAGATGCAGCCAACACTTAACAAAAGAAAGGGTCCGATGCTTTTGGCATGACAACGCCCACCAACACGTTTCACAAATCACTATCCATAAACTGAACAAATTGGGGGTTGAAGTTCTACCTCAAAAACCATATTCTTCATACCTTTCGCCAACCGACTATCACCTCTAGCATTTTCAGAATCCCCTTGCTGGGAAAATACTTCATCAAAAAGGACCATGCAAAAAAGCCGTTGTGGATTTCGTGAATTTTCAACTACCCAGTTTTTTATTTTGATGGGATTTCTCGATTGCTATCACATTGGCAAAAGTGTGCTGATTCGAATGGTGCCTATTTCGATTAAATCCGATGAGTATTAAAAAAGTTACGATCGTTTAAAGTGAAACACCCAAAACGCTGAGAACTTTCCGGACAACCTAATATATGTGAGAAGAGCTAGTCATATGTGCACAACCTGCCCCTTCAGCTGTTGCACATGATTTATTTAGCAGCGCTCAGTGGCTTTACATTGAATTTCCCCCATCTGTGTGGTGAATGAGCGGATCTAATAAGGGAGGTCTTTCAGGTCATGGCGCGCTTTTTAGAAATTGTTTGTTGCATATTGTGAGAATCACAAAAGTGGGTTCCGTTTTTGCTATGCATTTCTGGGAATGCAAAAAATGTGTTTGCTGAGGAGAAGCGATTTTGGGCCATTTTTCTAGGCTGTTTTCTATTTCTAATGTCGATTATGCATAGCAAATGAGACCTTCGTCGAGACTGCATCGAAAACAATACAAGTCAATGTGAAAAAAAAGTACGTCATCTGGCACACAGTGAGATAGCATTGTAGTTTCTCAAGCGATTCTCGCAGCATCCCAACCCGGCTGGAGGGGGGGGGTATTCAGAGCCATGTTGGCGCCAAATGGCCTAGGCGCCAATTATAAAGGGTCAGAACCGTGATCAGGGGCGTAAATAACCTCTATATACAGACTTTCAGCAAAATTTTTCTCCTCGAGCTGTTCGATCTATGATGGTTGGTTTTGTTGAACTGGTGGTCATCAGTTTCCGTACAAGTAGTTATCCAGTTTCGATACCTGGACTTTTCTGTTTACTAGTACATACCCTCATCATAACTAATAGCGGACATATATATGTATTGCACAATATCTACACCTTCAGTGCAAGAATGCTCTTGCAGCAAATCGGCGACAGGTTGCGCCTTGGTCAAAAATGAGTGTCGTACTCTTGAGTAGGGCATCCAGTCATCCCCGTAACCCAACTTTCAGCAAGGGTTCCCTCAGTGATGTTTCGAGAGCGCAATAGTTACGTAGGGTTGACTCGTGAACTATGAGTGTATAGAATAAGGTCTTAAATGGCATATATCCATGTTATATACATCATCACGCACGCAGGAACACAAGGAGACGGAAATACGAAAAATGCAAAAAGTTCGTTGCCAGGAGGATCCGATCCATAAACCACCTTTTCGAGAGCTTACCGCACTATTCACTCCGCCAACCGTCGACCGCGAAACAGTTGCTGCGGGAATCGTTGAAGTAACTTCAGTACTACTTCTCTCCATGCACCTTCTTTTTCGTTTAATTTTGCTCTCTTTTTGATACTTAGTTAAGAACACCTCAGAAACTACCCACTCTCAAATTTGCAGCTACAACAGAGCCCAACAAGCCGTTTAAAATCGCTTTTTCTTGTCAAATTGTTTTCATTCATTTTTTTTCTATCTGAGTGTATAACAACAATGTGAAACTCCAAAAGTTCATTCCAAAAAACTCAAAAGACAGTGAAAGTCTCAAAAGTTTGTTATAATATATCTTAACTTGCAATATTTCGGTGCGTAGCACCTTCGTCAGGCCTGAAAATATTTAGCTTGTTTTGTTGGTTATACCTTCTACAGAGTGCAACCCGCACGGACTCCACCCCCACCAAGCCACTTACCAGTTGTCCCGAAATAAATGACCAACCCACCCCAACCATGCCCTTAAATAGTGGAATACTTGTGGCGCGATCACATTTTCACTTGCATGATGTCACGTAGCTCCTCCCTGTTGTTTATTTCTGGTGAGAGCCGTTTTATTTCCAGAGCCTCCAATATTTTCCTTTCCATTGTGTTCTCCACTGAGCGGTGTAGCACTGTGATGGTTAATGAGGGCGGTTCTTGGTGAGCGTGTTTATATGTGCGATGCCTGGAGAAACTGCTATTGGGGTAGGAAGGTGGATTCCCCAGCGCTCTCTGTGTTCGTCGATTCCTTTTGTAGGAGGGACTCCCCCATCTTTCTTCCCACTATATTTTTGTCCGCATCCTTTGACACTCCCCTCTTATCTCTGCCACCGGTCCGGTCGCTGAGCGGCCGATTTGCCGAGTGCTCTTCTCATATTGATTATGGGCGGACTACTCTAGAAGTGTGATATTCTGCTACCGAGCACACTGCTATTCTAGACTTTCCAGACTTCATCTGGATATTCCTGAATAGGGCACTGCTACTTGCGATTCTATTGTTATTTAGCCTGTTACTAGGAGTCGGAAACTTCCTTCTGTTCATGCAGTCCTCGCGCTGAATTGTTTACCGAAGATTGTTCTATTTCGCGAGACCTCTGTTGCGCGGGTCGAATCTGCATACGTATTGGATTAGCACCGAGACAGGTGTATTTTCGCTTATTTTCTTTTGGATGTGCTTCGAGTCATCCCGTTTTCCTCAGACTTTTCTTGGCTGTGTCGCACTGATCTTTCATTGATTGCCAACTGTCAAACAATGGATTTGTCGCATCCCGCATCGAACACTCCACTGCGATCTTTTTCAGTACCTGCATCCAAGAAACGATGTTGACTGCATTTCGCACTGATAAGGGCGAGGCCAACTGGAGGATTGAGCTAACCTCGAAGATGAAGTATTGACAGTGCGCGCTCGTGGAATTACATCCGGCTATGTCCTCGAATATTTTAATCGAACAAGGAAACAAATGGAAATCAATGAAAAATGGTAGCGAACCTTCGCGTGAGAAGAGTACTATAAAACTAAGACTCGAAAGATGATCCATTGAGAAAAATCAACTTGAACAAAACATCCAGTGAATAAGCTAAGTAGCTAAAGTCGTAGAGTCGCCCTGTTGTTAATTCTAAGGAAGAATTTGATTTTGAGAAAAATAGATCTATTGTTGTTATAGGAACCCTGAGTCTAACAGCTGCCCTTCCAATCTTACATTGATAGGCGCAAACAGTGATTTTCAGCCTTAAATCTGTGCTCGAACTATCTCGAATATAAGTGGTGCCTTCTCTTATAGAATTCGCGACCCACACCAGATCGCCCTCAGTCTTCTGAAGGTGGTCTTGCCTACTTCTTTTCATCAGCGTCTGTATTGTAAAAGAGCTTCAACGTCTGAACAGCTTCTTTCGAGATTAGGTTCGTCTTCTTCGCCTTCACTCAGTAGAAGAAAAAAGATCAAATTACTGGAAGCTCGTCTAGCTAAGGTGCCAGAATAGATCGCTTGTTTCTATGACTTCGCCTCGTTAATCTTCATCTTAAGTTCTCCGCATTTCGCGATAATGATTACTGTTACATCGCGCCAGTCTCATGTTCCCAATTCTTTGCCGAAAAACCTTAACGCTCTTCGGCAGATCTCCTTTATCAATGGCTCTTGACTAATATTAGATCACGTCTAAAAATGTGATGCGTCTTCATCTGCTTTATCTGAAGAGACTCCGACACTCATTCGTTGCTGAAAACTGGTTGAATTCGTCGATTGCTGTTGCCCTTATTTGGCTCACTGGCCATGTCAATACAATATTTTTCGTATCTGACAGCATTCAGCAAAAAGCGGAGGGGTTGCGATTTTGGTCAATATAATTCATGTTCTAGTCAACTGTTATCTTTCGTGAGTCCGTAAAAGACTCCTAACGAGCAATTCTTGCCTGTGACACTCTGATTCAAACTGCTGGCTCAACACTTAACTTCTTCCCA